TCGGGAACGTGATAGGCGGCACGAACACGTCGAGCGGGGTGGGGCCTACGGGAATCGCGGCTGCGGCGGCAGCGAGGACGACGGGGAGGAGCTTGGAGAGTGTGGTCGTGAAGTACATTGTGCGCTGGCCAGTTCGTGAGGAGAGGAGAGGAGAAGAGGTGGTTCCTGCCTTTTCCTCAGGCTTGTGGAAGTCTTTATAGCCAGGTGGGAAGGGCAGTTCACCCCGTCGTGGTGTATACCGCTTTTTTTAGGCCGGGTCGGATGGCGAGGACGGCCTCCGGTGGATCAATCATCTGCGTGCCGACTCGGAACGAACGGTGGGGGTTGCAGTCGCTTCGCAGGATGACATGTCACCGTTTGTCGAACTGTTCGGTGTCCGGATGTGTGAGATTCAATTGGAGCCAGTATATTAATGCTTCTTGGTTGGTCATTTTTAGGTTGAACCCGAGGACTCTGAGTCTTCGGGTGTTAATTAGTGTTGAACCGCCTTGAATATTGAACGTTGAAATCGTCGGACCGTTGAACGTTATTAATAAGGTTGCTATTACCCCACTCTTCACAATTCACGCGGGCATGTGCGCCGCGTAGGTTTGGCGTAGGCGACTTTCGAAATGTAACGGCACGTTCGATCCTTGTTGGATCCGCAACTTCAAGTCGCCATCATCGAAGCCGCTCGAGACATACTTCCACTGTGTCGCATGATCCTCTTTTCGCGTTTCTACCCGGATCCCGACATATACTCCGACGGAGGGTCTCACGCGGCCTCGTTGTTTTATCCACACGGCGTCGAAGCTCCTTGAACCATTAACACCCATATATTCGGTTATGACGCCCGGTGGAACCATCAACTCGGGGCGCCATGCTGTGGTATTCTTCAAGAGTCGCTGCTCTTTTCATCTCGCGCTCTTCCACAGACTTCTCTGCTATCTCTGATCAGGTCTGCTCGGGCACATAATGTGCAGCCTCGAGGCGTCAGCTCTGCCAGCTTGAAGCATTTTTTTAGTGAGAAGACGCGGGCTCACTGCCGGAAATCAACGGAAATCAAACCAGTTGAATACGTTGAAACGTCAACTGCGCGTAGCCGCTCCGGATCCAACACATGCATGCATGTACCATCCCTCCGCATTTATCCCGTAACTACTTACCCCCGCTGCGTTCCAGACTTTCCAACACATACACCAACCACCGCTAGAAGCAAGCCTCGGCTATCCCGTACAATAAATACACCGTTCCATCTACTACTCTCACTCCGCCGTGACCGCGTGTTCCGCACACCACCGCTCTGCCTCCCTTTCCGCGTCGTACCCAAATTGCGCAGCGCTCTTGGCGCGGTCCGCCCACACGTTCGCGCCGCCCGCTCCTGCCGCGCCGCTCTCTGCCTGCTGCATCGCCGCGCGCATGCTGTCGTCGCGCGCCTGCTGCGCGGGGCCATCGGGCAGGTGGAACACCGCGAAGTTCGCGCGCGCGGCGCGCTGCGTCTCCGCCGTGCGTGCGTGCCGCAGGGCCTCGTACCCCCGGAGCGCGTCTCGCGGTGGCAGGGTGTGGAGGAGCGTGCCGAGGACGGCGGCATCTTCGACCTGCACAAAGACAACAAGAGAGGTAGGTGAGCAAGGAAGGAGTTGGGAAAGGCGCACGTACGGCCATTGCGGAGCCTTGAGCGCGCGAGGGCTGGGGGTGCAGCATCATTTATGAGTCAGACAATGCGACGAAGAGGAACGCACGAGCGTCGGATGCGCAGCGTCACCGAGGAGGACGACGGTGCCCGCGGGGTGCACCCACGAGTCGAGCGGCTCGCGGTACATCAGCGGCAGCACGTACGTCTTCTCGACGAGGCGCAGGAGCTTTTCGACCCTGCCTTTCCTTCATCAGTGCTCCATTCTAGAGGACACGAAGGGAGGGAAGGGAGGACGGACCGCGGCTCCCAACCTGCAAAATCGGCGCGCATCTGTGCGACGGAGCCCTCCGCCATGTACGACTCGGTCGTCGAGCCGGGGGCGGGGTGCACGAGCACAAGGTTGTATTCTGTCTTCCCGCGCTGGTGATACGTTAATTAGCGGAGGCGCAGAGACGCGCGCGCGGACGTACGATGCAGTACCCGATGATGTGCTTCTCTGGATTAGTTTATCGTAATGAGTGGCATCCAACAAAGCATGAACCGCAGACAGACGCACCTGGCCCCATCCAGCTGCTCATCTCCCCGGCCTCGACGAGCGCGCGCAGGTCGGGGTCCGCCAGCATCGCGGCTGTGGGGACGAGCGCGCGGTACGCCGCGGCGCCCGTGTGGATCGGCGGGGGAGAGGCGCCGACGACGGCGGCGCGCACAGCACTCTTGAGCCCATCCGCGCCGACGATAAGGTCCCCGGAGACAGTCTCCCCGCTTGCGAGCGTCACACGCGCCCCCGGCGCGTCGACCGCGACGACCTTGCAGCCGAGGCGAAGCGTCATGTACGGCGTGGCATGCGCGTGCAGCATCGCGAGAAGGTCGGCTCGCTGCAGATCCACATGTGGGCGTCAGCGTCGCGCGCGCGGGGGAAGGAGGGAAAAGGAAAGAGACATACGTGGACGTGGTAGTACGGCGCGCCGTGGTCGTCCTCCATCGCCTTGCCCCACTTCGTCCACCCGATTCGCTCCCCAGTGGAATCTGCGCGTAGGGGGGCCGGTGAGCATGCAGGGGATGGCGAGCAGATGGACTCACAGCGCAGGAAGGTGATCGCCTGGGGCTTGGTTGCGATTTTCTTGAGCTGCTCTGCGAGGCCCCAGCGCATGAGCAGACGACTCAAGTTCGGTCCGACCTTGAGAGACATGGAATCAGTGCTGGGAGCATGCGTAGGGATAGAGGCGCACCTGGATTCCCGCGCCGACGTCTGTGATCTCGGAGGCACGCTCGAGGACGGTAACCATGTGGCCTGCGCGCCCGAGGCAGTATGCAGCGGAGAGGCCGCCGATCCCGCACCCGACGATCACGATGTGCAACCGCTGCTTTACATCGCCATTGGTCGTATTCTGACTGCATCCCGCGTCAGGCAGCTGCTCAGCGTCCATAGCTTGCGTCCCGTTCATGAGGCACCGAGAAGAGAGAGAGAGAAGAAGAATGCGCCAGCAGAGAAGTCCGAAGACTGATACAACAGTAATAACAGTGATGAGGAGAGTCTCTATACATTTAGGTTGATGATCAGGTTATATATGCTTCTGAATCTGATTCGTGTCACCAGTTTCCCTGGCAAATTGAGTCCAGGTGCACCGAAGGCAATAAGGACTAGATTCCGAGAACGGTCGGGCGGAGTTCTAGCTGGTACTAGCATCATGCTGATCCATTTGAAGGCGCAAATTCACCGACCGTCCGCGATTAACGGGGGCCATTGCAATTGTGGGTGCCCATGTCTAGTTTCTGTAGTCCAATGGAGAGGAAGCCGGCCTGCTTCAGACTAGCTCCATTCCAAAGCAGGAAACGGAATGGTGGCAAGAGCAAAAATCAAACTCCGCCGACAAACCCTAACCCTAGACACCACGTGCCGTCTTGAGCCGATCGCTGCAGTGTTGAAGGTCACCGTGGAAAATAGATTGAAGAGAGGATCAAGGAGCAGTTAGCAAATAAATTGGTACACACTTCCAATGGGACCATTTTGCCTCCATTGCGATCATTCTGAAACTCTTCCCCTAATGTTTAACCTGCCAGAAAGGCAGATGGCTGCCGGCATATGAACATGGAACGCCTCGACGGAGGATGATAAATTCACTCCATTCCATCCCCCGCACTGACTTTTACTAGGAGATTTTGAGGTGACCTATCCCAAATATGCTCATTTGCCCGCCGGCCGGAATTCTCAATTCGGCATGGTCTTGTTCGAGTGACTAGCTACTAGTAGCTAGCATTTCGGCGCAGAATTGAGTCCAGAGCCCAAATTGTCTGGATTCATTCTAAGATTGAATCATTCTAGGATTGAATCCTGCCTTGAACTAATTTGTTTGAAGGAGACATCCCACGACAGGGAAAAAGATCACAGAATGTCCTAGCCTGAACCGGGGACTCCCACTAGACGCGAATATAGGTAGGCATATAAGGCGCGGCTGAGGACAGTCCGCTCCTGGGTATTATTCCGAGTAGAACAGCCGCGCACTTAGATGACCGATCGGACAGGCAACGAGGGCGTGAAGTGAGAATCCTGCCTGAAAATCTCGCCGCGAAAATAAGGGATGAAGGAAAACCACCACAAAATTGAACTTTTGTGACTGACTCACAGAAAAGAGAAGCCACGAAACCCGAATCATGACCTAGCCTGGAGTTGAACCAGAGGCTCCCGCCGCAAATCAGCTCTTCAGCCACCCAGCGGGCACGGTATCATCCGCTACTGGGTCTGAGTACAGGTGTCGGATTGGGGGCCAGAACTGCCTCAAATCATCGATTGAGAAGGAAAAAAAAGAAACGGCCAACATCCCCAGGACCTAGCCTGGAGTCGGACCAGGGTCTCCTGCAGTAGCGGACTAGTTTGAGATTCACGCCGCGGGGACCGTCCGTCACGAGGTCTGATTTCTCCCAAGTTGAACTCCATCGTGATTTGAAACGGGCTCCCGTGACAAAAAGAAGGTACCACGATATTGAATCATGAACAAGCCTGGATTCGAACCAGGTTCGCCCGCAGCAGCGGAGTAGCTTGTTGACATGCCGCGAGCGCGGAACCCTCCGCCATTGGGTATGATTCCTGTGAAATGAATTGTCACTTCATTTGTTCCTGGGCGACACAAACAAAGTAGCTGAAAGTTGACTGTCCACCGTGTGTGTCGACCATGATTTGGAACGAGCGAGTGAGAAGAAAAATGAGTCGAAATTCTCATGTCTCAGCCTTGAGTTGAACGAGGGGCTGTCGCTCAAGGATACGTCAGCCGTACCGTCCGCAACTAGGTCTGGTTTATATAACGTTGGAGCCAACTTTGAAGCTGAATTCGAACGGGACTCTCGGAGCAAAAAAGTATAAAAGTGGAACCGGGTTGGACACTATTCATGACCCAGCCCGGAATCGAACCAGGGCCACCCACAGTTATCGATGACAACACAAAGTCACACGGTGCGGGCGCCGTACCGTCCGCCACTGGGTCTGATTTCTATAACGTTGAACCTTGCCTTGAATCTGTATTTAGAACGAGCGCCAGAGCAAAAGAAAACAATTGACGAGTAGGCATGAGCCGGCCTGGATTCGAACCAGGGCCTCCCTGAGCAGAGTTGAGAGGTCCACACCCGGCGCGGGCGCAGTAACATCCGCCACTGGGTCTTATTCTCATAAAGTTGAACTCTGCCTTGAATTCAACCGAACAATACTGCAGAGCGAAAAAGAGTAGAGGATGCTTGGGCAAGTGACCTCAGCCCTGAGTCGAACTAGGGCGTCCCGCAAGTATTTTCTCCGGTCGGGGACGATGGGGTACACTAAAACTGCCTGTAGTACTCCGGGATACTTCCCGAAACCGGCGTTCCTGAGCGGGACCGTGCCGTGTAATGCTACCTACCTACCTACCTACCTACCTACCTACCTCCGTCGAGCGCAGGCGCGGTACCTTCCGCTATTGGGTCTTATCCCTTCAGAGTAGACCCTCACTTCGTAGCGCACCAATCAGACGGCACGCACGATTTGGAGCAAAGCGCAAAGGATATTAGATGGTGAGGGTAGATGGCACACGCACACAGGTGCATCAGACACTACACTCTTCGTTCTGCTGGGGACGGTCACAAGGACAACTCAATTAAAAGCGCGCAGATTTCATTAACATTCAAATAAGATTCCACCCTGAGCATACAACAATCCATTTGCATTATTATACAATCTGGATTCGAATTCGTCCGTCAGTTCCACAGTAGGAGGAGTAAGGTATTTGGGCCCGTACCATCTAACTTAATATAAATTCCGGTGACATGCCTTCGGGTCTAATCAATGTTTAGCGGATTACAAGCGCGCCGTGCGAGTCTGCGGCTGAGAATCCCCCTTCGCCTTCGGCGGGGACGACGGCATGCCGACGAAGACAGCAGTTGCGACGAGGCGCCTGCGGGTGAGATCCCACACCTCGCACCGGCAAGACGTCGTCCTTGCGATCACCGCGAGCGTCGTGTTCACGAACCGGAGCTTCGCGCCTCTATGATGGAAGGAGGGTCTGATCAGCACTTGCGGTATTCAAATGACGAGAAAACAAGGGACGACGGAAGAAACGGGGGTGGGGACGTACAGCTCAGCGGGGCTATTGAACACCGTGTTAAGACTCTGCGAGACGCTCGAGATCCCGGGGCCGCCCTGCGCGTAGTCAAGCGCGGTGACGGCTACGGATACGCATCTGTTCGCGGCGAGGTCAGTCCATTCGAAGCGGATTATAGCGAGAGTGGAGGACGCACTCGTCGATAACGACGACGAGAAACGCATTGTTGGCGGTATCCTGCGTGTCGAGCGTGTCTGTTCAAAATATAAGGAAGCGAGAGTCAGCGCCCACCACTAAGCCCAGGCTTATTTATATTACCTTCCGCCACCTCGAGCTCCAGCACCAAAATCAGCACCTTCCCTTCGCTGCCCTGGTCTCCAAGCGGGCTATTCTGGAGCTCGACGGCCGCGACCTCCCCCCGGCGCGTGGCCGTCCCCGCAAAGCACCGCGGCGGCGTGCGGTAGATCTCCAGCCACTTCAGGGCCCGCACCTTCACGACAGGCGGGGCGCCGCCGCGAATGCCGCAGCGGGAACGGGCGTGCTGAGGATGTGCGCGGCGGCGCTGAAGGGCATCGGGGTGGTGGATGTGAAGGTGATAGGCGGGAGCTGACCGGGTAGTCGGCTGCAGTGATCCGACCCGCGGTTACGTAACGTTCAAGCCTTACTCTTCTTCTATGCACAAAGGCAGACTACCTTATCTACTCTCGCTCCCCAGCTCACCTATAGATCGTAAGGGGAAGCAGCTCACCGCGAGCAGCCGTACATTCATTCTCACACCAATCTAACGTGCTCCCTTTCCCTTCTTGGATGTGGATTTTTAGTATACACTCTCGAGAATCAATGCCAATTTTATCCTCACTCTGGCGCTGTACCCCTCAAAGATCGTTACAGTTGTCCCCATTCGTTCTACCTACTACAGGTTCCACACCTATGCACAACTTGAAAGACCCGGTGGCGGACGGTTCCGCACCTGCGTCATATAAGTTCGACATCTATGTTTAACGGTTATCCTCTCTGATCTTAATGCACTCGAGGGCAGCCGCGCTTCGGTATACAGCAGTACCCAGGGACAGTGCGTCCCGCACTATGTGAACCGTACACAAGCATGAACACGCGGGAAGCCTCTGGTTCGACTCGAGCCGGCCTGTTTCATTCTTTTTTGCTTGTTCCCGCCGAGGCTAATTTATAGTTGAGCTCTTCAGAAATAAGAGCCAGTTTCGGAAAGCATGCCCGCCCGCGTAAAATAGTTATGTACAGCATCTGTTGCGTGTCTTCTCAGATCTCAATGCAATCCAAGGCAGGGTTCAACTCCACGGAATAAGCCCCAGTGGTGGACGGTACCGTGTCCGCGCCGTGTCAACTTTCATGTAGCGTCGTGTTGCGTCTGTGCGGGAAGCCCTGGTTTGACTCCAGGCTGGGTCATGCGGTGCTCGGCTTTGTGATTTCTTTTTCGTGGCTTCCGATGAATACAAAGGTAGGACTCAATTTTGCAGGAATAAGACCCAGTGGCGGTTGACATTGCGCCGAACCCTGTTCAATTTGTGAATTCGATGTGCGGCGGGAGGTCCTGGTTCGACTCCAGGCTGGGTTATGGCTGCGCGGAGCGTTAGATTTTTCTCTCGTTCTTGGAACTTGCTCGAACTCACTTCCATCGCCAGCCTAGAATCTAACCAGCGTGCATTCAGAATTAACTCGGTCCCCTAATTTATGAAACGTGATCCGCGAACGTTGAATCAAGTGTCCTGCGGTCCGTCCGCGGCCCAGTCCTCAGCACCACCACCGCGCCCATCCTCAACACGCCCGTCCCGCTGTGACGACGCGCATCTGCGGCAGCGCCCCGGCCGCCGTGAAACTCAAGTGGCGGCAGATCTACCACCCCGCGCCGACGGCGGCGTGCCGGGGGTGGTCGTTGCCGTCGAGCTGGAGCAGAGCCCGCTCGGGGACGAGGGTAATGATGGGAGGGTGCTAAATCTGGTGCTGGAGCTCGAGGCGGGGGAAGCGGGATCAGTGGTTGTTGCGCTGACTCTCGCTTGCTTGTCCAGATGCGCCCGGCACCAGGACACCGCCAGCCACGCGTTCCTCATCGTCGTTGTCGACGAGTACCCCCGTTCTCCTCGTTATATTCCTCTTCGAACTGGCTGACCTCCATCAGCAGAATGCCGCCGAGAACAGCGCGCTTGTAATCCGTCGCGAAATTATTAGTAGACGGTACGGATCCAAATTGCCTGATTGCTGCTTCTGGAACTAATGAAAGAATGTACACTGCATAAAAACGGGACTAACTTATGCTCTGCGCAGACAAACACTCGATTTTGTTTTGCTAGGTTCGGGTTGGGTCCGGGGCACCGGACAAGCATTGGGAACAGTGGGAAATCAAGCGACAGGGACGCTCCGAGGGCCGAGGTTTGTTCCGTCGGCCAGTGCTGTCATTGACCGGGTCTGACCGGGTCTGTCAATAGGGTTAGGTCACTGACTGTAACCTTTTTGGGGCGGGTCAGTACTAGTGCACTCAAGAATATTTTAATGGACCTGTCTATGCCCGGTCATTGGCGGGGTTCGTGCATTGACAGGTCTGCGCCTTTGACCTTTTTTGACCTTCATTACAGGCTTACAGCAATTATTGACTGTGATCACAACACCGCCGACGGGGTAGGCCTATTGCCGTTGAGACTGATCGACATCAAATTTGCATCCATTGCCGATGTCATTCTCCTCCTACACCAACCATGGACAACCTGGACACCAAGACCGTCCTTGTCTACGGTCTCGCCGCAGTAGCAACCATTTCATGGCTGCGTTCCGAGAACAAGGTGGGGCGCTGTATTTCATGTCGTGTCTCTGGGGTTAATCGACGGGGCGCAGGACACCATTCCGGCTATCGCAGGCTCCAAGGGCGGAATATCCTCGTACATTACGGCGTTTAAAATGCTACTGCATGCAATGGACGTGGTTCAAGAGGGATACAACAAGTATCGCAACGGCGTCTTTCGCGTGCCGACGTTCTTCCGCTGGGTCTACATCGCGAACGGGCCGCAGCGCCTCGCGGAGCTTGCCACCGCACCCGAGGACGTCCTGTCCTTTAACGAGGGTGCCGCCGATGCGAGTGGACTTCGCTGCCTGCATGTAGTTATGGTTGAACCATCTGCAGGTTATACAAACGGACTGGACGATGGGCGCGCATCTCACGCGCAACCCGTACCACGTCACAGCGGTACGGGGGAGCTTGACGCGGAACCTCGCCCGGTGTTTTCCGGAGGTGCACGACGAGCTCGTGCACGCGCTCGACGACGTGCTGGCGCTCGATGGCGAGGGTAAGTCCCGTGCCGCAATTCTCACCGCGCCACTTGTGAATCAATCTCCCCCGAATTAGAATGGAAACCGATCCAGGTCCTCCCCAGTATGATGCAAGTCGTCGCGCGGACCACCAACCGCCTGTTCGTCGGCCTCCCGCTCTGTGAGTACCTTCACCTGTGCATAGATACCCGCGCGGTTGACCATCCCGAAATTAGGCAGAGAGAAGGAGTACCTCGACCTCAACATTCACTACACCATCGCCATCTTCGCACGCGGGCAGATTATCGGTCTCCTCCCTGACTTACTCAAACCGTGCGTCGCTCTTCATCGTTATTTATTAAGTTATTCTCGTCTCACGCGAAGCCCGCACGCAGGATCTTCGCCCCGCTGCTCTCGTCGCGGAAGAGCTCCCTTCGGCACGCGCTCAAATTCCTGGGCCCGCTGATCGACAAGCGGCTCGACCGCGAGAACGAACTCGGGCGCGATTGGCCCGACAGGCCGGTAAGCTCGACCTCGTTCTCGTTTACCGATCCGTGAGGCTGATGCATCTCTGGCAGAACGACCTCATCTCGTGGCTGCTCGACCTGGCGGAGGGCGACGAGCGCACGACGCCCAAGCTGGCG